GACTAGTTATGGCCGAGGGGTCAAAGGCGTTAGCCTAAGGCGCCAGTCCGAAAGGGCGTGGGTTCGAACCCCACAGCTGTCAGTCTATATACCTGACTGGTGTTATATTGAGAACTCAGACCTTTTCAGAAGCGAGGTAGTGCAAGACCAAAACCTTTTGAATGTAGGTCAATTTATTGGGCAAGGTCAAAGCGGTAACGAAGTGGGGTGGGTTTGGGGGTTTAGGTATATGTACAGTTATGGGGGCTAGACCTGAGTGCCTCCCCGTGGCGCCCCTGGACAAGAATCTGCGGATTCTTGACTGAAGCTCAGGATAATGAGGGTCGATATTGATCAATACTGAATTTATCAACATGAAATTCCGTGGCATGGTGACACTGAAATTGGGTTTCAGAAATTTACCTAGCAATAGATGTTGTCAGAGTGGCTCGTGTTTCAGGAAAGGTCATTGACATTGAGGACCATAGTTCAGCAATCTGGAATAGTGGGGTGTTATCTGTGGATCACTAAGCAGTCTTCACCACGCATGTCAACCACGGTGAAAGCCACGATTTGAGAAAAGAAAGGTACTAGAGTGGAGCGTGGGTTGAGGATAGGCTTGTTTGACGTGATATGAAATAGTTGATCTGGGCCATGGAGCCTTAATGTGTTCTATGGAGACACGAGGTCTCGAGTCGAGACTCTCGACTAAGGGCAATTGTATGTATGGCATGATGTCGTTAACATTGAAACATGGTTTCGGACATAGATTCGCATATGTTGGGATCAAAGATAACGAGGCTAGACTCTAGGCACTAGAGGAACATGAGGTTCCGGGGGGAAGGGCACTTGAGTGCATGGCATATTATGGAGATGAGAAGCTCTCGGAGGAAGAGCGGGGTCTGTTTGACAGACAAAGACTGAAATATGAAGTGTGAGACTATAGTGGGAGTTCCTCCCATGGTGGACTTGCTTTCACAAGGGGAAAATTCGAGCCAGCAAAGTGCGAGTCGGGTTAAAAGGTACCCGTTTTGTGTTTGCAAATCGAATTTTTGGATGGGGGCACTTACGTGCATGATATATTACGGGGATGGTGGCTCTCGGAGGGAGAGCGGGTCTGCTTGACAGACATAAGGTGGGAAAGTGTAGCGTGAGACTATAGTGGGAGTTCCTCCCATGGTAGACTCGCCTTCACAAGGGGGAAATTCGAGCAGGCAAAGCGCGAGTCTGGTTGAACGGTACCTGTCTCGTGATTGCAAATCGAATTTGGGAATGAGGGTACTCAGTGCATGACAGATTACGGGGACGCGAAGCTCTCGGAGGAAGAGCGGGGTCAGTTTGACTGAGATACGGTTGAAAAGTGAAGCGTGAGACTATAGTGGGATATCCTCCCATGGTGGACTCGCCTTCACAAGGGAGAAACCGATGACAGCAAAGTGCGACTTGGGGCGAAGCATACCCGTCTTGTGATTTAAGATTAAGAGTTCGTCACACTCGACGATACGGGGGTTATAACGGGTTGATAAGGGGATCTAACTAATAATAGGATCGAATGTTCATTGGTCTATTCGAGAGGATAGTTATAAGGATAAGAGACTACAATGTCGTCAATAAGTGGAGAGAAGGTCCTAAGAGGATCCGTGTAACGCGATAAGCGGGAGGAGGAAAATCTCATTTGACTAGACGATAGGTTGAAGAGTGTAGGCTGCACACTGTGGGGCTATAATGGAGACAAGGTAGACTCGCCTCGGAAGTAAATAGGTAATCAAGTGTGTAGGATTGATAAGTTGAAAGGTCAATGGGGGAATAGGTGATGGAGGACATCACGAAGAGAAATGATCGGAAGAATGGTTTCGGCTTATACGAAAGGGGACGGTATACTGTGCAAGAGGCACACAAATTGTGGTTCAACATCATTAAGTTCGCGCTAAAAGCGTAATGAAGCTAGTGACGCACTTTAAGATAAGTGATAGAGAGTCCATCCAGTTTAGATCTTATGAGAGAGCATTTTTTGTGTCAGTTCCCCTTACTTTTCCTAGTTCGTCACTTATGGATGACCCAATAGCGAAATTCTTTACGGGCAACACAGCCGCTGCGTTGCTGAGGGCATGCAAAAGCACGGGAATTAATGATGAGAGCACGTTGGGGGCACTAGCTTCGGACAAGGAATTGTTAACTGAAGTGGCTACAAAGGCAACCCAAGATGGTTTCTGGCCTGAACTACAATGTGGTCCCCTGGTTGGGAACGACACCAAGAAGAAGGTGAACTTGTTGAAGGCCAAGAGCAAGCTTGAAGACATATCGACCCAGGCGAAGGAAGGTACCACCATCTCGCCCAAGCTTTTAATGGAAATAGCTTATGAACGACTTGGTTCCGATCTCTCTGAAAGACTTATACTTGAGAGTAGTCACCTCAAAATAATGGGGAAGGATGCCGCAGGCTTTTGCGAGTTGAAGCTTCCTAGCGGTGTGGTGGGTACAGGTTTGGAGACTCCAGACTGGAGAGAAACAACAGATGGTTCTATGGTAGCGGTCAAGAAGATGACTAATACTAGATCGCCGACCACGGTCGCGGAGTTACTCCGGGTAATCTGTAAATGGCTGATCGCTCTATCGATTATTACTGAAAAGAGAAGCATACTGGTAGCTGGGATTGACTATATGAGTAGATTATGCTGGTTATCTAATGGTAAGAACGACTCCGAGGTGATTGATTTTGACTTATCACTAAGGAGAGGGTTGTCTGCTACTGCTAAGCGATTGGCCCGAGAGCGTAATATTGACTATCATGAGGCAATAATGGTGGCTCTCCGGGAGGTCCAAGACCAACAGGCTCTCACTAAGGTCATAACGGCAACCTCAGTCGGTGAGCAGCGTTCTTTTGGTCCCAATGCCAAGAGAGCGAGGGAGCTAGGTGGCAAGGGGAATGTTTGTCGGTTCTACTATGAAGACTGCATAGCAGTTCGTACTGGGTCATGCTATTATAAACCGTCGCAGCACTTGAACAAGCCCAGCGGGAACGGTAAGGGTAAAGCCAACAAGGGTGCCTTCGGTAAAGGAAAGGCGAAAGGGTGGTATGGTTTCGTCGGTCAGACAAGTCAGAGTGACATGATGGGGGGTAGTGCGGGGATAGGTAAAGGTAGCAAAGGGGACAAGTTCGAGAAAAAATGAATGAGAAGGTTAGTGAGGAAAGGGACATCGATTTTCTGCAATACATAATTGGGTGTTTTCAGTGAGGGACCTTGAGAGTCCATAAAGTTTCAGTATAGATGTAGTCAGATCAATGGTTTGCTCGCAAGAATGGGACTCGTTGGGTTTATAGTCAATTAATCAGGGGTACAAGCCATAGGCTTGATAAAGAGCTATGTATGCCGAGTGCTAAATCCTTTCGCAATGACTCACAAGAGATCCAGAGAGTCAGAGAAGAAAAAGAGACGCGAATATAGAACAAGAAGGAGGATGAGCAACAGGCAACAGGTGACTATTAATCGAGGGTGATATAGAAATCTAAGGAGGCTCAGGCCCTGAAGGCGGAGGATAGGGACGACCTGAGTCAGGAAGACATCCAGTCGGCTACTCAGATATTCTGGAAGACAGCGTTGGAAGCATGGAAGGAACGCAATGAAGAACAGGAAAAACAGTACGTGGATGGCTCGGGAACGGCGGAGTTCACCAAGGAACTACCCTCTATGATCGACAGGGAGAAATGGGAAGAGCAGCCCTTAATACGATGCTTGTGGGAAATTAAGGAAGTGAGAACGTTGGCCGAGGAGCTCGAAAGGTTACAAGGGGCGCCTGATGAGAATCAACAAGAAAAATTGAAAGTGTTAGGGAGAAGGGCTGTCGAAAAGACGGTCCCGGCGCTTGAGAGCTTCTTCGGTATCGAACGAGATATTCATGACATATCGCCATTTCATTCGGAGTTATGGCGTGCTCTGGTAGACTATACTGGGGTGGGCGATGGCGAGTTTGTGACAACAGTCTGTAAAGAGGGAAGTCCAGTGGGCATCGACGAGAAGTTTTCTTCATCCAATGGATTGCACCCGAAATCCAAAAAGAAGGCAAGGCACAGCGACAATGCCGAGGAGGAATTTGCCGGCAATTATCCATCTCCCATTCCGGGAGCTGAAATAATAATGGGGAAGCTGATAGAAGGCGAAATCGAGCGCGGTTGGATGGAGGAAGTGCCTTCCTTTAAAGAGGGATGTAAAAAAGTGCGTCTAGCGCTAGTTCCTAAGAAGAGTTTCCGCGAAGAGTTGAGTGGAGATTACTGCGCTTTAGGGGATGACGAGCTCAGAAAGACCTTCAGAATAGTAGAGGATTATAGGAGAAATTCAGTGAATTCCTCGGTGAGTCGAGAGGAAACGAACTTGGTACCAGGATACAGAAGTGTGGCCAGACTGTTACGAAATGCTATGCGATTAACAAACCAGACGGGTGCCAAGTTCACCATCTTTGAGAGTGATGTTGAACAGGCTTATCGGACCGTGCCCATAAATCCGAAGGAGAGAGATCATCTAATTTGTGAAGTAGGGGGTAAGAAAGTCCGACACTGTAGGGTGCCAATGGGACTCTCGTCATCGGCATACATTTGGACGCGGCTCATCTCTACGATGCATAGAGTCTTGAGGGTATTACTTCAGCTAGTTGGTACAGCAGGACTTTGTCTCCTGGACGATAACTTTTGGGTGATATTGGAAGAGATCTGTGGTAAAATAGGAGCTTTGTTATTAGTCATTCCGTCAGCGTGTGGAGTTCCTTTCGGCTGGCACAAATTACGGTTAGGAAAGGGGAATACATTCGGGGGCTTCGCAGCCGATGTACGAGGGAAGGAAGGCTTCGTGATCTCTTTACCCCGAGATAAGAGGGAGAAAATCAGAAGCCAAGTGGAGGAGATGCTGAACGCAGATCTGATTGTATATGATCAATTGGAGAAGCTGATCGGGAGATTGGGATTCTGCTGTCAAATAGCTCCGAGTCTCCGCGGTGGCCTTGCTCGCCTGTATTCTGCCAAAAAAATCATGGATAAGAAAGGGTTGTTGACTCTGCGGTGTTCGCGAGATATGCGGGAATGTCTGATGAGGTGGCGTAAGGTGATTGAAAAGGACTTCAGACGCGTGATTACTGTGACAGAGAATGGGGATGACGAATTGCCAAAATGCTTGGTCGTAGCTGACGCCTCTGTCACAGCAATCGCTGCGGTGGCGCTACGGCGTGACGGAACGGGGGTATGGACACGTCTGATACTGAAGGATTTGGAGTTGATCGAAGAGGTCAGCATCCATGAAAGAACATGCAGTAACATGGTGGCCCTGGAGCTATGTGCGGTGTTGGCAGGGTGTGTACTCTCACACAGAATCGGATTCGGAGATTCGGAGACGTTAGTTCTCTCCGATTCAAATTCGGGGGTGAATATGATAAGGAAAGGGTTTACTGCGAAGTTGGCCCCTGCGAGGATTCTATCTGGAATAACAAATCTGATGGTTGGTGGCGTGCTATTTGGAGAGCAATCTGGAGCGGCTTTTCATATACCAGGTGTAGAGAACACACTGGCGGATAGAATTTCACGAGACGTAGCATACGAACCTCCAAACCTAGCCTGGCATCAAGTGACTGCCACGGATCTGCTGAGGGTGATGGATAAGCTCTAGTTTGTTGTTGAAAGTCGATAGTGGATAGGAAGTTTCTGTTGACAAGACTCTATTGGAGAGGTGTTTATGGGTTTGTCAATTCAACGCTGGGAATGTGTCGTGTATAATGGAATACGTTTCGGAAATGAAGGCCGTTCACCGATCAATGGTCCAACAATCAAAACTGCAACAGCTGCAGGCCTTCAAGGCACGTCAACCAGTGGAAGGAAGCTGTGAAGCGATAGACCTCAACAGGAAGTTGAGAGAGAAATCAATTAGAGATAGTACCCGGCAACAGTATGAGTGCGCGGGAAGATATTACGAGGAAATTTGCAGCTTCCCAATCTCAGGGAGAAACTACAGTCATTTGTCAGGCGCTCCTTGAGCTGGAACCACCTCTAGCTGGAGATACAATATCTCAGTATGTGAGTGCGTGAGAACTTTGAGCGAAATTAGAGGAGAAAGGGCCCTGGATGAGACGGAAGTCAAGCAGGTGGAAAGAGCCGTCACGGCAGCGAAGAAGATGAGAGAGAGCGAGGGGAAAAAGAGGAAGAAAGCAACAGTGATGGAGGATGAAATTGTAGAGGCAATCATGAACTTAGAATGTGCCGAAGGGTCGTTGGACGATCAGTTAAAAACTGTCACCTTGCTGGCGATATCCACGGTATGTCGTCTGGACGAAGTCTACCAGCTGAGGGGAAGAGATGTCGAGGTGAAAGAAAGTCAGGATAAGATCATTGTAGTTGTCAAAATCTGGAACCCGAAAACGGAGGATGGTCTAACTACGAAAGAAATAGAATGTGACTCCGTCGGGTTTCGGGTTCCGGGTTTGGCCAAATGCGGAGTGACTTGGTGCCCCGCACACGAGATTAAAAAAACGAAAGAATACGCTCAAGTCCGATTGTCTGAGATTGTTTCCGAGTGTGGCGAAGACCACTTATTCCCGCAAGCTGAAGGAGATGTTGAAGAGAAGGTTTCCGGGAACATCGGGAACATGGAACTTAGAAGGGATAACAGGACATAGTCTCAGGCGTACCGGGTCCACGAGGTTGAGCTTGAAAGGAGCTTCAGAGAGCGAGATAAAAACCTGCGGAAATTGGAGGAGTGATTGCTGGCGTGGATACGTGTCGGAAGCGATGGCACAGAAGAGTAGGAAGAATGCCAAGCTGATAATGGGCTCGTCGGAACGAAGGTGAAATAGTTTCAGTTCAAGATCGCTGATATAAAGTGTCGAAATGGAAATTTGTTGAGTTCGATGTTGGGAATTGGTAAGGGGAGGCTTGAATAGGCAGCGTCCAGAACTCCAAATCTTTGATCGGATGGTCCTGCAATCGAGTACAGTTTTGGGCAGTTCTGAACTTTTGTCTATTCTTGCAGCGTGCTACTATCGACGGCTTGAATTCGGACGGCTGGCAAGCCGTTATACATGTTGAAACCTGAGTGGAAGATCTCACGGTTTCATAGATGTCGATAGCGCACGCCCAATTCCCAACACTCCAAGGCAGCTTAACACCAGTCGTAGGAGTAGAAAGCCAGCGAACTCGCGAAAGGCTATATTCTGAGTTGTAGATGCAATGACGGTCTCGAGTCTAACAAACTTGAATTTGGGTTTCGAGTATGGGGTGTATCGACACGTAGTGCAGCTTTGAATGTAGGTCAATTTATTGGGCAAGGTCAAAGCGGTAACGAAGTGGGGTGGGTTTGGGGGTTTAGGTATATGTACAGTTATGGGGGCTAGACCTGAGTTCACCCAACCCTCCCATCCCACAGGATAAGTTGTTTAGGAGGCTTGAATAGGCAGCGTCCAGAACTCCAAATCTTTGATCGGATGGTCCTGCAATCGAGTACAGTTTTGGGCAGTTCTGAACTTTTGTCTATTCTTGCAGCGTGCTACTATCGACGGCTTGAATTCGGACGGCTGGCAAGCCGTTATACATGTTGAAACCTGAGTGGAAGATCTCACGGTTTCATAGATGTCGATAGCGCACGCCCAATTCCCAACACTCCAAGGCAGCTTAACACCAGTCGTAGGAGTAGAAAGCCAGCGAACTCGCGAAAGGCTATATTCTGAGTTGTAGATGCAATGACGGTCTCGAGTCTAACAAACTTGAATTTGGGTTTCGAGTATGGGGTGTATCGACACGTAGTGCAGCTTTGATCGATATTGTGCCATCGCACCTCGCAGAATCCGTTCAATCCATTTTTTGTGTCCTCTGGTTTGGCAGAGCGATGCATCACCTCGGCTATGAATCTTGAAGCACTCATCGACAGTTTGGCCGAGTGGTCTAAGGCGCTGGCTTAAGGCGCCAGTCCGAAAGGGCGTGGGTTCGAACCCCACAGCTGTCAGTCTATATACCTGATTGGTGTTATATTGAGAACCCAGATCTTTTCAGAAGCGAGGTAGTGCAAGATCAAAACCTTCTGATCGATATTGCGCCATCGCACCTCGCAGAAACCGTTCAACCCATTTTTGTGTCCTCTGGTTTGG